ATTCTGTGAATCTGTGAATCTGTGAAAGGCCTTTGTGCTCGTGATAAAAATAAGCACTTTGTTCCCTATTAGACTAGTATGGCCGAGCACTCTTTTTCCTCTTTCTCTGCATGAATAGAGAAAAAATATTATTTCTTCTGGTACAAGGTTTTGAATGAGTGACTGTCTGGCTCCAAAGAGAAAGTTTCACAGAAGTCAGTGCTAGCGAMCCAAGAGTGTTTCTGTTTATTTACTGAAGAGCTTGTGTCCTCCTTTGCCTGTAGTTGCATTTGCAAGATTCAGGGTTTTCCAATGGAATATTTGGGGGCTTTTTGATTTAACGGGGAAAGCCACAATATGAGGTTTAGTTCCCCCAAAGAGTCCAGTGGTGTTGTGACTGAGCTGGAGAAATTCAGGAAAGTTTATACTCTTCCTGCTACTGTGTGTAAGAAGATAAGTGTCCACCAAGTGATTCTGCTCTTTGTTTCCAGATCCATTTAATTCCTGTTACCAGGTTTGTCCTTCTAGTCTTTGTTCCCYTTTTTAAGGTTTTGTTTCAGGTCCTGAAAACAGAAGAGGATGAAGAGACCACTCCCTTTCCAGGTTCATCTTTTAAAGAAAGACTTTTTAGGTGCTCTTTTTAAAAAGACAACTCTCAGCATTCCCATTCCCTGAAAAGGTCCTCGTGAGAGGCTGGGACAAAATATTTGTGAGAGTGTAACGTGAAGGGATGCAGAGAGAGCTGCAGTTTGTTCACATATGTGTGTGTCCATGTGTGCTCACGTGTGTCCCTGCACACAGGGAGCCCCTGAGCTCCATGGGGCACACAGCTCCCCAGCTGGGAGAACGTTCTTGGTGACGGCTCCACGTGCTTGGCCCCGCTGGAGATGAGGTGGTTCTTTACATGYCTCTCTCTAGCTGTCCCCAGAGCAGAAAATGAAGCCTGGAAGAACAGAGATTCGATTTAAAAATGTAGGAATGGTGAAGTTGTCCATAATCCTTATATCTGCACAGACTGAAACTTAATGCTATTGTACTTCCTAGCAACTTGTACCTTTTTAACACACAYAGCCTAAAATGTATTACAAGGACCCTAATGCTTATTAGCTTCATGTGTTATAAGAGTATGTCTACTTTTTCCACTAACAACAAAATCAAAATTGTATATTTGAAGGAGGGAAGAGCAAGGATAGCTAGCTAACGGGACAASAGATGACAAAAATGAGCAAGCTGATTTCATTTATACTTTGTAGAGATTTTTCATCTTATCAACTGCAGGTGAATGTTACAGATACATTACAATGATATGGGTCTGTATTTTTATTTCCTTTCCTGGCAGGATGGTTTGGTATTTTACTGTTCTCAGCTTTCTGCTGTTATCAGCAGAAAGGCAATACCTGTCGCCTGCCTATTTCAAGAAGGGAGAAATGTTTATTTTTCACTTGCATCGTTACACAATTGGAAAGATAATTAAGGATGATTGCATGTAAATATGAGACTTCATCACTGTAGTATTAGGGTCCTGCAGTCACTAATGTGTCTTCTCAGGAGCACAGACTCATTGGAGTGTCTGTGTGCTTCACTCCCCCATGTGCCACAGGGAGACACTGTATGACATGATCTGCATCCCCAGCCACACGGGAAGGCTCCAGAGCTACAGGGAAACAAGCTGAGTTTCCAGCAGCCCCATTTCAACCACTCTGCCTTTACACTTAAGTGTCATTAGCTCTCAGCATATGAGTAGAGGTTAGAACTAGCAGTAGTAGGATGAAATTTAAGTGAGGAAAGCTAAATATGAGCACATGAGTGAAGGAGGAAGACTGCTCTTGTGTGAATTGCATCATTTCGTTTGAGGAGAGGATTTCCTCAAGGTAATRCTCAAAAGGCACCATTGGCTGGAAAGTATCTCACTGCATGAAGCAAAATATGAGGCAACCTGCTGTGAAGAATTATCCCACGTGTGAGAGACCATTGCAGATGCACTAGATGGGCTCTTAAGGTTCTTGAAATTCTGAGATGAGATATTTCATGCTGTAATCTTGAAATGTGAAACTGCATGTGGCTGTACAGCACTAAGCTACAATAAAGAATTCAGAATTACTTGTGGCTTTTCGTGGTCCTCTGCATAGTGCCTTACATCTTTGCTAAACTTATAGTACAAGACTGTGAGTGGCAAGCAGCTTCATTTGTGCTGCTATTGAAATCTTTTTAATTTTTGTGGTGCTATCTGCAGTGACTTATGGTGGGGACCAAGGAGAACAAGAGGTGTCTTCCTTGGTTAAACTATTTAAGGTTTACATTCAGATAGTAATACAGTGACTATTTCTTGTCAATATTCTGTGATTGGAGCCATTGTCTCCTAAATGTATTAGAGCTTGGTTGTCCTGGGATGTAGCCCTCAATAGCCTACAGCCCTTCCCTCTTTGTATCGGAAATCTCCCTGTCTTATTGTACAGTTTTGATTTGTTKAAATTCCTATAGCCTTGAGCATCTTTAGTTAAGTGAAAAATGAAAATCTTTCAGTCCATTTGAGTTCCCCAGTGTCCATTAGGCCCAGTGGCCTGGATAAAAGCAGTTAAATTCCAGTTGAGCTTGAATGCGCTTTTAGAGCTGCTTGCTTTGTGCAGCAAGCTGCTTTCCACCATCCCATCCATGCACACAGTTAGAGAGTGGAGTCTGGTGGGGTTTGGTGTGCACAAAGGCTGAATTCCTGCCAGCAGGCTCTGAAATCCACCCCTAGCTGCTGGAAACAGGGAGCACTGAGAGCCTATCTGGAATGTCTTCTGGAGCTTCCAAAGCCTTGCCTGCCTGCCTGCCTGTGTTCTCTGTGACATCAAGGCGTCCCCCACACTGTTAAATCTGCGGGTTTGGAGAGTTGAAGGAACTCTCCTCACGAACAGCCACATTTCTGTTTTGAAATGCTCACTCCAAAATTCTTAGAAAATTGAAACTGTTCTGTAGAGCTCAAATTTGATTCAGTTTCAGATGGCATTCTGTCTGAAATTCTTAGAAAACTGAGATTGTTCTGTGGAGCTAGAATTTGATTCTCTTTCAGATAGCATTTGTGTTAATTCTGAACAGAGCCACCTGATCGTACAAGCTTGACCTGCATGAGAAATCCATACAGTTTCGGCTCTTCGTTTTCTTACCYCTAGACAAGCCTTTTAATTTGAGTAGGTTTAAGTTTTATTGCTTAATATTGTGCTCATGTGAATCTCTTCTATGGGACAATATAATTAAATATCCATTTCTTTTTTATGAGATAAAAAAAAGGAAAAAACATTGAAACTTTATAGTGGTGTGGAATAAGACAAAGTAAGAGATACTGAGCAAACTCTTGCACGTACATAAAGAACATACAGGTGATGCTATTGTTATTTTTGTACCTAGAGAGAGCCGGTTTGAAACCTTTGTGGTCAGTACCCTTTTTTTAATGTGTGTATGTGTGCAGCCAGGCTAGTGTGAACAGATCATATGGGCTAATTTGRAAGGCAGGTGTTCGCATCACAAAACCGCTGCTGTAGTTGCCGTGCTGGGCTGTGCCACTCTACTGAAAAGGTCAGAAGTGAATAGGTACAAACTGKTTTTTGCCAGTATTAGTGGTCTTTGGGGGCCTTTTTCAGGTAATGGCCAAAGCTTATGGCAAAGGATGGGGAAAGTTGCTCAATGACTATAGATAATCTATTTTACCTTCTTTCTCATAGAAACAAACCCATATTTTCATAATATCTAGCAGAAAACTTTCAGTACCCTCAGTTTGCTTTTCAGTTTTGAATGTTTGAAACCCTTTGGTTAAAGGTTGAGGAGCCACCTTTTTACAACTGCAGTTCTCTTCTGCAGTATTTCTTTTTTTATATATTTGGTATCTTTATCCTCCCAAATTCTCTGTGTGTCAACTAAATGCACCCCTTTGCCTGCTAGTCCACGAGAAATAGGTATCCAGTTCTGGTGCTGATTAACACAGTTCCTAATTCAAGTGATATGGTTGGCTTCATTCCTTAGACTTGGATACCACAAGGACTATGGGAATATATCCCCTGAAAGGGGATTTGTGGATGCGGGGGAGGTAGGCTGTTTCTTACACAGGTTTGACTGCTTGTTCAGATGGCCGTCACCTGCACACAGAAATACATGCAGACTGCACTTCAAATGCAAAATACATGAAACTTTTGACTTAAGAAAACATTCCTTAGATGCTTCAGCTGGTTCTTTATATAGTATATAATTTGCTTTGGAGTTAGAAATGTTTCTTGYCCCTTCCCCCTGTGACGGTGGTGTTCGAGAACAGCTGCATTCAAGGTTTTGCTTTGCTTTATGAAGAAATGGAGCAATGTTAGTGACTTGTTTTTTCAACATGCGCAAGGGAAAGGGGAGCGGGCTATTTCGAGAGATTAAAAAACTTCTCTTCCTTTTTCCCTTTACCACAGATGCCCGAGATGTAGAGCAATTGAGTAAGAATAACATTACGCACATTCTTTCAATCCATGACAGTGCCCGCCCTATGCTTGAGGTAAGAGGGATGGGGGACTCTATGGTAAACCCTTATGTTGCAGTTGACTGTTTCAGTCACCTTGGTGTTATTTTCATATTCTGTACAATYGGTGTTTTGAAACTGATTTTCTTTTGGAAATGTTTGACAGCATAGTTTTCGGCTTCAGGCACAGATTTCATTCTTGCTCCTGTTACAACAACAAAGAAATCTGTCTGACAAGGGAAAAGACAATTGCAGTGTCAATCAACATAGCACAATCATGAGATTGTGTTATTAATTTAATAGTAAAGGTAAGTTTCTTTCTGTGTGAAATTCAAGCATCACATAAATAATAATCCTTGTCCCTCTTTCCAGCACCAGTGTTTCTTCATAGTAGGCTTCTTTTTGAGTCTGTACGGTAGGTTGTTGTGCAAAATGTCTGTGATCCCTTTCCATGTAAAATAGCATTCTTGGGGCTTGGGGTGAGGGAGCAATCAGTGCTCCCTAGTATACTACACATAGTAGAGCAGAGCATCTTCGGGTCTCAAGCACTTGAATCTGAGGTGTTATTCCACCTTCACGGAAGGGAAACTGACCTGAAGAGTTGAAATGACTTGATGTGTTATGTCATTTTGAGCAATGACGGAGCTGAGACCAGACTGAAGGTCTTCTGTGTGTCACTGTTGTGCTGTCCTCTTTGTCACTTTACCTTTGGAGGAGGGCAGTGTGGCTAGGCTATGTTGTACCTTAAAAACTTGCTCTTTTGATATATATTGGGAACTGCTTGTCCCCCTGAAAATTTATTTCTTCTTTCTCAGCATTCTGCTTTTCACAAAATACCTAGCAGGTAAAGCAGTTGGTGCTGCTTCTCAGAACCTGCTGGGAATATCTGCTTTTCACTCACTCCACATGCGAAGTCTGCAGTGGATTCAGTCCTTAAACTGCACATTTTCCACTTTTCCCCAAGCAAATCAGTAAGTAGGTTGAACAAAAGGTCTCTCTAACATGTCACAGTCAAAACCAAAAATCAGCTCAACAATGAATTCAAAGCTGACTTKGAACTTAGAAATATGAAGCAAAGCTTAGGCTGTTGGCTTTATTCCTCTGTCCACTTGACTTGTGCCTCAGTTTTGTTCTGAAACGTTGAATTTCAAGACTGCTCTTAGCTAAAGTAATACATAGTTGCACTGACTAAGGGAGATTGCAGTTTGGATGCCTTCTGCATGTGTTTCCTCTAAGGTGTTCTCGAAAATAGACGCTCGATGTATTTTATTATGATGATTAGAAAGGAAGGAAGACTAGTTATAACACTGTTCAGCTGCAGCCTTGGCTCAGAGTTTCTTTTGGTAGTGGTGGTAGTTTTGGCAGCCCGCACACCAGCCCGTCGCTTGTGGTGGTGCATCTGTTTGTGGGGTTGCATGAGCTGGTCTGGGTTAAATATAACTAAGTTGCTATTTCTTCCTCCAGCCAGCCCCTGCAGAAGGCATCAAGGGCTGCACCTCTCTGGGTCTGGTTCACCAAGCAGCTCGGGCACTGGGGTGGTATTGCTGGCGTGAGGATGGGGTTGCTCAGATCAGCCTGTCGTAGTGAAAGGTCTGTGTCTGCCTGGAGCGTGGGGCAGCTCTGCTCTGTGTGGAAAAGAGTGTTCAACGTCTCCCCCTTTGCTGCACGTTCCCTGTGTCTGGCAGCTGAGCCAATTACTAGTAACTGCCCTATCATCCATGTGGTAGTGTTTGCTTTTCAATATTGATTTTGTTTTGATGCAATAATATTTTGGATGTAGCACTTCATTACATCTAATAATGTGGGGCCAAAAACGAGACTGACCCGCCTGATTTCGTTGTGCCTGTTGCGTAGGAGCAATAGTCAAGAAATGAAAGCAAATCTCAGTGTATGTGGTGAACACCAACTTGTTACAGACTGTAAAAAATAACTTTCATTTTAATCATTTATGGCATTACCCCTCTCTGCCTTTGTGATTCTGTGTCTGATTGTGTTTAAAATATTCACAGCACCTTTTAAAATGTATCCTTTGCTCTGTGCTTTGTACACTGCGGTATTTGGAAGTGTGTTGCTTTAGTTCCTCATATCTTACCAGCATAGGAGAAAATGATTGAGGATTTCTGCAAAATAAACATTTGTTATATTTGTTATATTGCTCATTTGTTATATTGCTCACAAGTATGTGCATGTTAAGGAAAAATAATTAGAAAACATGTTTTCACTGGTGTTTTATTCCAAAGTTTGATCATAATGATCATTTATTGTGATTTATAAGTTGGCTCATAAACAAAAGTTGGGTTTGGGAAGCTATTGCTAACTTTCAATCTGTACTTTATACCTTTAGACACTGAAAGTCTTCATTAATGACCGGGCATAGAATTTTTTTGTAAGACTTAAGGTCGTTTAGACTGGAAGGAATTTGCCAAAATCTGCACTAACTATCTTGCAAAAGTGCCCCTTAATTCTTTTTGTATAAACGGTTTCAAGGAAACTTGTCCATTAATAAAAGCAAGCTTGAAGGCAACTTTAAATCAGGAAGACTCCTAAGGCTGTCATTCCAATTAAGTACTCCCCTGCTATGCAATATCTTAACAACTTAGATAAGCATCATGTAGTTCAGAGATCCATGTAGGTAACTCCATCCAAAAAACTGTAGGTACCTGGTGGTGTGTCCAAGAAAACGAGCTTCATGGATATGGAGCAAGGTTTGTTTCACGTGCACAGAGGCCCTCTCTGGGTGGAGCGGTGTCTGGTGGCATCATGACTGCTGTCACGGAGGACGTGGTCCTGGTGAATCACCATGGCCCTGGCTCCTCCAGAGCACTTGGGACAGCAGCCCATGGAGCAGTCACAGAGGTTTTATAAATCCACACAAAAGCCATTTATAGGGGAGAATAATTGTGTGTCTTGCCACCTGCTTTCTAATCTGTCTCAGCTAGTTCAGATCTTTGAATCATTGTTGGTGCAGGGTAGATAGGAAAACAGGTACCTGAGGGTGTTCTTTAAATAATTATGTGACTGTCAGTGACCTGTTGGATCTCGTGGTAAAACTCTCTCTAAAACCAGAATGAACAGCTATGGAGATGCGAAGCCAAAAGGTAGGTCTGACTATGGTGGTATCCTCATATCTTAACCAAGCTGGTGGAGTCGGCAGAGCCCGTCAGGTGCAGTCGATCAGAACCACAGACGATGTGGATGATATGGAAGTGCTTAACTAATGCTAAGCTGTCCTTCCCTCTACATGCAGACAGACTGTTGCTTCAAAGAAAAACAGCTAGGCCAACTAGTGCTTTTGCTTTGATTGCCCCTGCAGCTATTACTCTGGGGATACTTCCCAAAAGCTGAGAAAAATCCTGTAGAGACATTCCTGTCAAGCCCAATGTTCTCTAACTGCCAGAACTTTTCAGTAAGTGTGAGTGGATACAAAATACAAGAAAGTCACCTTGTGCAACGCACAAGTAAAATAATACTGCATCAGCCTTTATCCATATTGAAGGAGATRAAGGCAAACCTTGTTTACAAGGTGTCTGATTAAAGATCCATTGAAGTGAAGGCTTGAAGTGAAGTGTGGATTTTGCTGGCACTTGATCTTTCTCTGGAGATACACTTGGAAATGGATGTGAGCCCAGACCTGATAGGATTTTGATCTGTGTTTACAGCTGCTTTAGCGCAGGTGCATCCCTGCCTTGGTAGCACATGCTGTGCTGCACAGCAGCTGAGCTTGCAGCATCCTTAATTCCCACTGTCACCTGCTTGCACCCTGCCCTTAGGCCCTTGTTTTTGGGGTCGTGTTTGTGTGTATGAGAAGTTRACTCAAGTAAGACCATGTGATAGTGGTCTCTGGCCTTTGTATTCTGCAGTCAGAGTTTTTGGTCCTTGGTGTATGTGAGGCTCTTTGGTTGAGCTGCCAGTTCTGGTGGCTGTTTGTGTTGTAGATAATTGCCTGTCAGGAAGCAGACTGAAACTACCACCTTCTTTCAGATGGGCCTTCACATATTTGTCAGTTGGTAGCAATTGTGTAGATCTTGACCCAGAGGTTTAGCCTAATAAACATAGGAATTTTACCATCCTTCTGTGCCTGTAGAGTCCTTGGACATTAATTTATTTATAGTATTGTCACTATGAATTCTGCTGCATCACAGGAAGCTGTGTATGCAGCACTCGTCTTGGAGACACCGTAACCATCACAGAGATTGGGGTCTTATATCAGCAATCTTTACCTTGGCCTTCCTGTGCTGTCACAAGAGTTCTCCCTTTTTCACTCAGTTTGCAACCAGTTGCACTAAAAGTGAGCTTCTGYATGTACTCTGCACTATGCATGTGAAGTTTGTTTCTGTGCTTTTTGTTACTACAGCATATTTGCTTTGTTTTTATTTATTTGTTTTATTTTTGGCCTGGTTTTGTYCTGGTGGTGGCAGAGGCAGAGAAGAGCTCATTGCTAACAGCCCTAAGCATCTTCCTTGACTGGCTTGTTAGCTTGTGCAGCTTACTTAAATGAATAGTATGTTTGAAAACAAAACAAAACAAAACAAAAAAACCCACCTAAGGMTAGATCTTTTTTTCTTGAAGAAGTGAGATGCCAAATTCAAATTTCCTTGCACAAAAACTCATTTCAATCACAGCAGAAGTATGATTTCAAATAGTCTCTAAGAAACTGACCTTCCAGGAAAAGAAAGAGCAAAGTTTAGAATATTCCTGTTGAGTTCTTTAGAACAATCTTTCATATTCCTCCAATGGGAAGCCAAATGCATTAATACGAAAGAATGCAATCAACAAAAAGATACTGCAATTGGAACAAAGCCAGTAAGTGTGAGGAATAGAAGTTGTAGAAAAAAATGTGGCAGAGAAGCTGTGTAACTTCTCTGTATCATTTTTGTCTGCTGAATGCTGTGATATATCTGTTTTGTGAAGTGTTAAGGATGCAACAGTTACAGCTGGGAAATCAATAGAGAAAGTGTTGAATCAAACACTGGCTGGATATTGCAAACCTAACTTCAGTATTAGCTGGACAGGAGTGGCTTGCCTGCAAAAGCGGG